GGGGGGGGGGCCCTCAAGGAAGCTTATTGGGACCCTTACTATTTAATGTTTTCATCAATGATCTTAACTGGTATGTCGACAACACATCACTCCGTCTTTATGCAGATGACACCACCCAGTACTCATCTGATACATGTCCTGCCATACTAGAGTACTCGCTTAACCGTGATCTACAGAAATTATCGTATTGGTTCAAAGAAAACTTCTTACAAATCAACAATGGCAAAACAAAAGCAATGATCTTAGGGAAATCAGACTATTCGTACAACCTTAAAATTGACAACCAGCCATTAGAAATTCACGAATCTTTGAGAACACTTGGAGTGACACTGGACAGAAATTTAGATTTCAAGCAGCATATTGACGAGATATTAAAGAAATCCTATGGAATGATTGCTGCTCTACGACGCCTTAAGAGAATGGTTCCGATAAATATTATAACAAGTTTGTACAAAGCGTATATTTTACCTAATATGGAATACTGTTCTCAACTACTTATTGGAGTGAACAAAACATTGTGCAAGAAACTTGAGAAAGCCAATTGCTACGGTCTAAGAACTGTAATGAACTTGGGTAACAATATCACCTATGACGAACTTTTAGAAGTAGCATCAATGCGATCACTCCAACGTAGGAGACTTGAACAATCTTTAATTTTATTCTTCAAGAGTTTTAGAAATGAAGGTCCTGTATATATATCTGACTTTTTTAAAAGACGTAAATCTACCTATAACCTGAGACATAATGGTCTTAATGTTGAACAGGATAGAAACAATAGCCGTTACTTGCATAATTCCTATAGCTATATTGTAGGGCATGTATGGAACAATTTACCGTTCCCTGCAAAATCTGCATCGACATTAGCAGAATTTAAGTTACATCTAAAACATTGCGAATTTATAGGATGTCAGTGCCAATCTTGTATATAATTTCCTAGATTTGTATCTTATTAGTCTCGTTTACCTTTTAGTAACTTAATTAATATCCATAATGTAGATATGTATTTATAGTGCAAGAGAATGTTTTCAACTCCAAAGAGTTAGCGAGAGTTGACCATAAATATTTTATATACTTGATAGTGCATCTAATTATTCTGCAATTCAAAAATTGAAGCCGTGATTGCAGATTCAGGAAATTCCCATGAAATGAGAAGATTCGTGGGGGGGGGGGGGGGGCTTTGCTGCTTGTTTGTTGCAAGCAGCACACTATTCTTGACCTAACATGAAGTTCTTCACATTCACTCGTGCCAAGTGTCTTTGGCCGAGTTATGTAATGTCAATTCGAATCTCGACTTTCAGCAATTGAATTTGTTCGTATTTTCAAGAGTTTGAGTCCTTTTTCGGAGAGCTGTGAGAGAGTTACATGTTTCGAGGCAATTTTACAAGCTCTGAATATATTATATTTACAAGCTCTGAATTACAATATATATATTTACAAGCTCTGAATTACTTCGTGCATGTTCGTTTTTTTCATTTTGTTTTGCATATGCAAATATCTTGAATACCGACAGAACCGCATGGTTTTACATACATACATACATACATACATACATACATACATACATACATACATACATACATACATACATACATACACACATACAACACATACAACACATACAACACATACAACACATACAACACATACAACACATACAACACATACAACACATACAACACATACAACACATACAACACATACAACACATACAACACATACAACAC